GTGGCCGGGACGGGGAGCTGGAGCGTGCAGCTGTGGGCACAGTGGGCCCCGGGGAGTGGCCGGGACGGGGAGCTGGAGCGCGCAGCTGTGGGCACAGTGGGCCCCGGGGCGTGGCCGGGACAGGGAGCTGGAGTGCGCCGCTGTGGGCACAGTGGGCCCCGGGGCGTGGCCGGGACGGGGAGCTGGAGCGTGCCGCTGTGGGCACAGTGGGCCCCGGGGCGCGGCCGGGACGGGGAGCTGGAGCGCGCCGCTGTGGGCACAGTGGGCCCCGGGGCGCGGCCGGGACGGGGAGCTGGAGCGTGCAGCTGTGGGCCCAGTGGGCCCCGGGCTGTGGCCGGGACGGGGAGCTGGAGCGTGCAGCTGTGGGCACAGTGGGCCCCGGGGCGTGGCCGGGATGGGGAGCCCAGGACTGTGCCAGCGCCTGCCCAGCTTGTGCTCCGGCTTCCTCTGTGGATCCGGTCTTTCTCCTACCCTGGATATCCACAGCTGAGCTCCTTAGCTGACTAGCTCAATGCACACCACCGGCCACAAACGCCACCTGTGTCCTCTTGGACAGGTTCTGTGCCGAGAGGGCTTCTTACAGGCCCTGGCTGTCCTTGTGCAGAAAGCTCTGAGGTGCTCCACGTGCAGCTGCTCCCGCAGAGGCTTCGTGGGCTCCACTCGGGCCCTTCCCTTCCTTTCTCTCCATCCATCTCTTGTCTCCTCTGACCCCCCATCAGCCCCAAGGACAGGAACCTGAAGCTCCAGGGCAGAGTCTGCAGGAGAGGGTTGCCTGGGAAGTGCGCCGAGGCCCCAGACAGAAGGAGATGTGGGGGTCCACCTCTGCCACGGGCAGGATCCTCTAGAGCTTCCCTGAGCGAAGCGGCTGTAAGGTGTCCTGGCGGGATTTCAGGGCTGGAGTGGAGGGAGCCTGAGTGCTCAGACCCTGCACCCTAAATCGCATCAGCAATTGCAACCTAGAAGCGGGCCCAGTCCCCTTCCTGTGGTTGGCATCCTGCAGTCAGTGGTTGAGTCAGCCCCTGCAGGACACCGGGCTTCCCTTGACCACACCCAGGGGAGCTCAGTCCTGACAGCAGAATTGCTCCGGTCATGGGCTGAGCCTTCCCAGTGTCAGAGAGGAAGAGCTCAGTAATGAGACATGCGGGACAGGAGGAAGGTGGAAGTGGGGACAGTAGGGAAAGCGGGGTCTCACGGTCCCTCTGGTCGGGCAGAGGCAGGCGCTGTGCTGCAGTCTCGCCTCGCCCTGATCTTGTGGCCTGGAGGCTCTGAGGGCCAGGCCGCAGCTGGCTGCTCCTCACCTCACTTTGCGCCCATCAGCGTCCCAGTGGCCTTTGAACATTCAGCCTCAAAGTCCACAGAGCCACCCTGAGAGACATTAGGCACCCCTCAATAGCAAGCTGCATAAGAACTGAGACCCAGATGAAGCAAAGATGGGCTACACAGGCCTTGGCATATTCTAAAATAACAAGGCAGCCGTGATGCCGTGGCACCCACACTGGGATGGGCCACCCAGGGTCTGGGCTTCCTTTGGGCAGTCAGGACCTCAAAGCTGTCCCTGCAGTGACTGCCGACTCCCCTTGGGCCACTCATGCCCACAGGTGGCCAGAGTCAGAGCGAAGTGCACTCTATACTTTGGATCCTGCAGCACTGTGAAGCCAGGTCGATCCTTCTCTGCTGTGGTGTGGGGTGTGCGCCACTGTCACTTAGGGAGCGCCTGCTGGCACCGGCACACAGGGCTTATCAGCCCTGAATTTACAGGATCCCGTGCCCTTTCGGATGGTGAGAGGTTAAGGGGGCACAGCTGCACCCACCACCCATGAGCCTGCAGCCATTGCCTCAAACCCGTCCTCACCTGGCTTCCAGGGGAACACAGCCCCCCATGACCAAGAACCCCAAAGACAAAGAGGCCTGTTCCTGCATGCAGAGGCACCCCTCAGCCTTGAGGACTCCTGAGCTGTGACATCTGAGAATTGCCCACAGGACACAGGACCCCAGCCGGCCCCTGCCCGTCCTCCTTAAGCGGGACCCCTTCCCTGCCATATTTCTACGAAAGCCGGGCCATGCCAGCTACAGCATGAGCACACTGTTAGCATGGCTGTCACAGGAGCCGAGCTCCCAGGGCTGCGGCAGGTGCCCGGAGGTGCCCACTGTTCCTGGCTCGCGCCTTCCTCCTGCATGTGCCCTGGCTGACACTTTCTGCTCCTGCCAAAATCCCCAAGCTATTATGCTTTATTTGTGTATTTCAGGCTACTTTGCCATGCTTGTTTTATTTATTTATTTATTTATTTATTTATTTATTTATTTATTTATTGTATTTTAGGGAAGGGTCTACAGGGTGTTTAGGGTCTCACTTCTAGATCAGACTCATAGTGATTCTATTTACAGCCTCCCAAGTGCTGGGATTACAGTCTCAATCGCAGTCTCAGCGTGCCCCAGGGGCAGGGATGGCATGGCAGGCCTGGGGGGTTGAACACCCGGCCCCTGCGTCTGCTTGCAGGTGCTTTAATCTGCTGAGCTATTTAGCAGGCCCTTGCCATGCTTGTTTTAAAGAGAAGATCTTGTGATTACATCTCATTCACTATGGATACATGGCTTGCTCCTCTTAATTCCAAAGTTAAATTCTAAATCCTAGAATTTCTAAATTCTTACACCCCAAAATCTTTTATCAGGTGTCCCTTCCCTACAGAACTTGAGTAAAAAGTGAAGACTCTGTTTAAGGAACATTTACGTTTAAACCCAGATATTTAAACTTCTTTCATGTTGTATTCATAAGGAAATAGCTTCATGGCTTCAACCATTGCCCCTGCAGGTGACACTTGGCACTTTAATTAATCCCTTCACTATTTCTTCTTGAAGGTCCGCGCCCGAGCCCAAGGCCTTCACACTGAGCTGCATCCTGCCCTTATTCATCTGGTCAGTTCCCAGTCCCTGTTCCTGGACACCTGCTCCCAACATCGCAGGAGCTTTCCCTCCACTCTTACTCCATCTCTGGGCTGCTTGTCCAAACCCCCGGGGCTGCAGCCTGGGAGCTGGGGTGCACCTGCTGCCTTGAGAGAATGCCACTTGTGAAGGAGCCCTCACCCCACCGGCAGCTGTGCTGTGCTCCGTTGTGCCCGCACACTCCTTTCCCAGAAGGCACCTGGGCTCCCTTCCAAAGCTGAGCGCTGAGGCCCTGGACCTCACCTGTCCTTGAGCTCATAGATGGGATTGCTTCAGGGTAGCAATCGTCATCTGACCCAAGGACAGGTTTTGTATCGGGTCAGACATTTGGATTCAGTATGCAGCCAGAGTCAGCACGTTAAACCTTTTCTACAGAGACACCCACATGCTGTGTGAAGGACGCATAACCACAGAACTCAGTCAGGGCGGGGCAGCAGCCTTCGCTGTGGACCCCACGCTGCCCCCTCGGGTTTCTGAATGTCTGTCCTTCCTGTCTCTCCTCGAGTGCCACCCACTGCAGCAGAAGCACTCATTTCTCTAGGACACTCCGTGATATCTCATGTTACGTTACCAGGACCCGTGTCTGGGCCAGCTGGACCCCAAGCACGGGCAGCTCGGGAGCCGGCTCGCCCCTGCGGGAGGTCTCACCTCTGAGAACCTCGGCCACTGGATGGCCTCCTGCTGTGCTCACAAGCTCGCTTTCTTTTCCTGTTAATGTGGCAGAAACCAGTCCAGCTCCAGTGTTTTCCTGTTGGTTCATCTTATGTAATCTCTAACACCTGTAAGTAAAGAGAAAAATATGTTGATTTTTCCCAGTGTTTTCTAGGCAGCTAGATCCACATCATTCCAAAAGCTACTTGCTATTTTTAGCTACAAAGAAAGAATGACTTACAAACAAATGTCAGGAAGTCTGTGTAAGAGGTTTCTAGAACAGGGGTCACTCCTTGCCAAGGCTTTCTGATTTAGAGCTTATCAATATTTATAATTAGATGTCACATAATTTCTGAAATGCTTGTGGGTTTCTGTCCCTTTTCTTCCTGTGACATCAGACCAGAAGATCTGGCCCAAGTTCCCAGGTGGGTGATGCCCCCCATGACAGCACAAGGCAGGGATGGGCTGCGACCCCCAAAGCTTTGCCCACTGATATCACCTATGTGACCCTGGGTATCTGTGTCCCCAAGCCATTTTCTGGGACAAGCATTTGGTTGGTTGAATAATGGTTGAAATCAGATTCTAAGAATCCATATTTAAGTCACTAAGTTATGGTTAATTTGTTAAGCTGGAGAATGAAAATAAATTAAACAAAAATAGAATATAAGCTTCAGGTGCTCTAAAGGCTTTAGGTTACCAACCCACCAGGGTGGCAATTAGCTTACGAGCATTTGTCATGTTATGGGGATTATGAGTTGTCAGAGTGACAGCTGATTCTGATTTGTAAGTCACTTCCAAAATACTCTGAAGTTGTACTTGTGATTTATAAGCTAGGGCTATAATTAATAACTCATAAGAAGATGAATAAATCATATACATAATCCTTGTCACTCCCAATGATGTCTGTGTTGGTACCTTATTTTTAAACTGTCATTTATTTATGACCATATGAAGGTCAAAAATGTCACTAATCATGTAGCTGTCTTGAAGTTAAATGACTTATAAGAACTGTTAAATAAAATAAATTTAACACGCCCTGTTTCTAAGTCAAGTGCTGGAAAATATGATAGTGTTACGGCATGTATCAAGTGACCAGCTATCACCCTAAAGATGCAGCAGACACATAAGTGTGGTCACGTGGCTTCACATCACATTAAGCCCTCAGGATTCGAGCCTTCATGTAACAACTGCCCAAGGTCGGTCTACATAAATAGCAGTGGCTGTCTCCCCAGATCCACTGAAGAGTCAGAGACGAGGCCACAGAGCATGGGCGTGGTCTCCCATCCCATGTCCATGCAGAGTGTGCTACCTTGACTCACAAACTCAGTTCCCCTCATGATCCTGGTTGCAAACCGAACTGGATGAGACCCACATCAAATTTCCCACGAGGCGGACAGTGAATCTGACCACTGACGTGGATTTGTTCTCGTCCAACTCAGTTTGCCACCGAAAGTGTGGAAAGAATCAGTCTGTGAACAGAGAAGAGAAGTGGAAGTGTGAATGGGCGCACAGGGAAACTGGATCCTGATAAGCCACCAGGCACGCGAGTATCATGAGCCAGTGTCCACTCAGGACATTAATCTGTGGCACTTACGCTCATCAACACAGTGCACTGCAGAGCTGAGGCCACTTTCAGCCACAGTCATGTGGGCACAAAGCTGAACTGGGGCTGCCTTCTCCACCCTGACAGGGTCAGGCTGCCCTCTGCTGGTCCAGAGCGGAGGCGAATGAGCGACTCACAGCGGGAGTGGGGTGGGGGGCCGTGGCTGCTGCGTGGCATGCCACCCTAGCTCCTCAGTGTCCCTGAGCCTGGAGACCACGCTGTCTCTAGCCATTTGGGTAGCGGCATACCCAGCTCAGCAGGCACCTCGAGGGAAAGGCTGCGTCAAATGGAACTTCTGCTTCTAGCTTTGGAGGCATCTCAGCTTGTGCGTGACACTGCGAAGGGCTCCTGTCTCCACACAGCCTCGCCAGCGGGGAGTGCTAGTCCATTTACTTACTGTTTGGTCTCTTGGTGGCAGCCACTCTTTGTGGAGTAAGTCGGACCTCAGCGTGGTTTTACTTCGCATTCATTTATTGGCCTGGGTGTTGAGCATTTTTTCCTGTATTTATTGGCATTGTACTTCTGAGAAATGTCTGTTCATTCAAAATTAGGCTAAATAATGTAGTGGACACGTTTAAACACCTAGCATTTGTTTCCCTGGTGGAGATTCTGGGAACGGCAGTGCCGGGCAGCCTTGAGACCAGCTCTCCCCGGCTCTGCTTCAGTTGCTTCCAGAAAGGCTTCCGGCCAATTCTGTGGCCGGGACTCCACGCTCGAGGAGCCCACCATCCCTACACAGTGGCACTGTAGAGCTGAAGTGTGTCTTTTCCACTAATAATAACGAAGCTTCGTGACCCATTCAGCCCCTGTTGGGGAGACACACTCCAGCCCCAACAGGAAGTGCGTGGGCGCTCTGGGAGCTGCCCTGACTGGCCTCCTTCCGTGCCCCCACCCCGTCTTCCAGAGGACCCCCTGCTCATTCAGGGTGCTCACGGGCTGCAGTGCCCACTCCCTGGGCCTCCCGCGCCTGCCCACTCTGATACCCTGGCACTGCTGTCCCTGTCCACCCTCCCACTGCGCCTCCTATGAGGCAGGCCCTGCGGTTCCTGTCCTTGCTGCCACCCCTCCCTGTGTCTGGTGCAGAGTGAGAGTGGGGCCCAGTGCATGGCCCAGCGTGCACACACAGCCCCGGATCCCACCTCCTCTGCTGGGCGGAGTGGCCTCCGTGCGGGCTCAACCCTCCCTTGCCGCCTCTCCTGTGGGTAGCTGCACTGGGGGCCACCCTGGGTCCCAGCAGGGCTCATGAGGTGCAGAGTGGGGTCGCCCACGTGTACGTGGAGCGGGTCTCTCTGCAGTCTGAGTAGAGGTGACCTGGGAGATGGAGCTATGGCGCCCGGGCCAGCAGGGCCAGCACGGGCTCATTCGGTTTAGCGAGTCAGTGAGGAGCCGCCTTCCGAGGGCTAGCAGCTGTGCCAGGGAGAGGACTGCCCGCCACCCACCCTGCGCACCACACACCCTGGAGTTTGTTGCGAGCACACAGACGTTTTCATGACGAGGCCTCACAGACTATAAGGCGTGCGCCGGCCTAGGCGCGGGCGGACGTTCCTGCTTCCACAGTTCTGTTTTCCTGTTTCAGGAACACTAAACATGGATAGGCTTCCCTGTTTCATTTGTGTTTAGTTAATAAGTTAAAGCACAGCTATGGGAGGTTCCCTGTTACACACACCTTTCCCCTTGGCATGGGAAGGTGAGTACTGTCCACTCCCTCATCTCGGTCCTGATGGGCCCTTTTCATGATACAGTGGCATATTTGTGTATCTCTGTGTGTGTCTTAGTTACTGTTGTCGTGCTGAGACAAAATAGCCAATACTCACAAACTGAAGTAGGAGAGTTTTATTTGGCTCCAAGGCTGTAGAGGCTTCAGTCTGTAACCGGCTGGCTCCAAGGCGGGGCAGTAGGGCCCAGGGGCATCGCACAGCAGGAAGCCCATGGCCGAGCAGGGCAGGCGCAGGGCAGCAAGCAGCAGCAGCGGCGGCAGCGACAAGAATCAAGCCACCCGCGTCCTACCCCAACTGCCACGTGGGCTCAGGAGGAGCCTCTCACCCTTGGTCCGGCCTCACATCTTCCCGCTCAGCCTCACACACCTGTGATCGAGCCACTCTGGAAAGCGCCACCTGTGACTGCATGAGGCTGGGGTGACAGCTAGACATGCGGGAGAGCAGTGCGCTAGTGACGACTGGACCCAGCGCCTCCACCCTGGGCTGCACCTGCGGCGCTTGCTATGCTGTGTCCTGCCACAGGGCCCTGCTGAGCCACTCAGGTTCCCAGACCAGGCGTGAACTCTGTCTTTGTGCCTCAGCCCCTGGCATGCTGGATCACAGGCGTGCATCACATTCCATTTTATGATATTTTTAACTAAATTATATACTTTCTTTCAAAGACAAATTTGGTCAACTTTAATTATACGCTGTAGTTTTCTAAAGCACACGGTGAGCGCTCATGGAATGTTCGTGGCTGCGGTTCTAGTAGTAACGGTTGTTGCCTGCCTTTCCAGGCTGCTTGGGTGGGCTGCTCGGGTGGGCGGCCCTGCCGCTCGGGCTCCCAAGGTCACCTTTCAGAGCTGCGTGCCTCACACTCCTGCTCTCAGTCCACTCTCCTCTCAGTGACTCAAGCCGTCCTTTGTCATTTCAGCTTATGAGTTACAGAACTGCCCGGACCCACCGCCCTTCCAGAACGGGTACATGATCAACTCCGACTACAGCGTGGGCCAATCCATCTCGTTTGAGTGCTACCCAGGCTACGTCCTCATAGGGCACCCTGTCCTCACCTGTCAGCACGGGACCAACAGAAACTGGAACTACCCCTTCCCACGGTGCGATGGTACGTGCCCCGTTCTTCTTCGGGATAGTGGATTCCTTACGGGTGTCACAGTGCTTAAGCAGTAAGTGGCCATACCCACTAGTTCTTTGATTTATTTGACAAGTATTTTTAGGCCATATCTGCTGTTATCCTCACCCCTTCTTATCTCAGGAGCACATCAAATGCCAGAAGGTTACACATAGGCAGCTCTTGCTCTCACGTAAATTATAAGGCGAGCTAAACAATCTACACGCATCATCATAATGCAAGCCCAGCGGAGGAGCCTGGAGTGGTGAATGGGGGACAGGGAGGCCCGCTGCCGGGAGCGCCGCCGGGGTTGGGCCGCGAGTGAGAGCAGAGGGAAAAGGGGGTATTGACTGTGCTCTGGGCACTTGTTCTAGTTCACCTTTTATAATGATCGGATAGTGAGGTTCCGTTTCAGGAATGGGTCGGTTCTGGTTGTGGTGGGAAGGACCCCTGCGATTTTGCTACATAGAGACAGCGGGCCCTGCAGGCACAGGACAGAGAGGAAGCAGAGGGGCCAGGGGGCCTGGCGCGGATGGTCCTGGAGCCAAGGGCCTGAGCTGGGCCGTGTGTGTGTGTGTGTGTGTGTGTGTGTGTGTGTGTGTGTGTGTGTGTGCAGCCTGCTGCACAGGGCGGCAGGGGTCCAGAAGTGAGCCCGACAACCCCCTGCCTGGCACTCATTGAGCTGAATCCTGATTTTAGGGTAGTGCAGGAGCCTTTATGGTCCAATTAGGTAAACTGCTGAAGGGCTGTGTTCGTGAGGATGAGGGTGTGTGGGTGACAGAAAGCCCAGGGTGCACTCAGTGGCCTCAGTGTGAACACGGTGCCCGGGAAGAAGGCTAATGGCGTGGCGGCTCCGGGGCCCTTTGCAACGCTGAGTGCCCACATCCCAGGGGAAAGGAAAGACAGAACGAGTCTGAATTTCTGCTGGAGGTGTAAGAAGTGTGTCAGGGGACTTTAAAGATCACATTTTCACTCCATCACAAATCGGTGTAAGCACTACTGAGGGACAAAAATATTAGCTGTGTTTTTAAAATCCTTAATGAGGTCTAATGCTTATTTACATATTAAATTGTGTATAAAATGATTTTATAAAACTAAATGTAGTATGTATATTTTTTCTATTTAAAAATTTAAAACTATCATTGCGCTCTCCACTTGAAAACTCCTGTTTAGCGTCCAGCACATGGGGCATGTCTGAGGCTCTAGGCTGAACCCCTAATCCCACCAAAAAATAAAAAGTAAAACCTCATAATTAAAGTCACTTTGAAGACCACAAACACCAAATGCTTTTCTCATGTGCAGCTTTAAGCTGAACCCCCAGAATTCGCCGGTGAGAGTGAATGTCCTGACCTGACACCATCGTGAAAGAGCTCAGAGCCGCATGCGTCTGCGTTGCCTTAAGTGGCCGTCAGGCTCAGGGTGTCTGCGGGCGTGAATGGCCAGACACGCCTTCCCTGGCAGCGTGCACACGACGCCGCGCTCTCCTCGGGCTCTGAGGCTCAGAACCCGTCGCTCCGGGAGCTGCAGCGTGCTCTGCCTGGCGTGGCCCCTCCTGGACAAGCGCCCACCTCTCCTCTCTGGCTGCGCAGAGCAGGGTTGCACATAGTCACTCGCTGTGGACGTCACCCAAGGGAACGGTGCCCGCAGGGGCCGGGGGCACCCAGGCCCTAGAGTCCTCCAGTCGAGGCCCTCGGGGTGCTCCTCCTGGACTCTCCCCTGGAGCACATACATGGGCCTCTGTGGGCTCCGGCGCAGCCACGCCACACTGTCCACCTGGGTGCTGCCACCACGACCCAGAGCCAGCCCAGCCAGGTCCTTTCTCAGGGCCGGGACCCTGGTGGGCATCGGGCAGCACCAGCCCAAGGGCAGGGCCGGTCTCTGCCCTGCTGTCTCCTCCGCCAAGCGGCAGGGCCAGCATCACGCTCCTCATCTCACAAGACAGCATCCAGGACAGACTTAAAAATACTACAGCAGGGCTGGGGAGATGGCTCAGTGGAAAAATACTGCAGCAAACTTTCCACAAAATTGTGTCATAGCACAAAGGTTGAGAATTAGAAGAAACACATAGAGAATATTCTCAAAAGCCCTGAATGTGTATTTAATATCTTCTCCATGGTAGATTTAATTTAAAAATAATAATAATTTTTTAAAAACGCCTTTTTTCATAGCAGTAACAGGCCTGGCACAAAGGCCACCACGGCTGAGTGATCTGGGCACACTGTCCTGCACCCTAGCCCTGGTGTCCCTGTAACCCATGGCGCTGGCCACCTCAGGCGACCCCAGGCGTTGCCTAGGGCCAGTGCCGAGAGCATCTTCAAGGCGCCAGCTCTGGGGGCCCCCACAAAACCTGGGAAAGTCGAAACCAGCAGGAAAAACTTTGGGATATCTTTATGAAAAGTTGGCAAATTCACACAATTACTATTAAAGACTTCTAAATCATGAGCCATCTATCTTTATAAGGACATGTATTTTTTAATTTTAAAAAGTCTTTTCATTTATTTGGTACAGGGTCTCATTACGCAGCTTGGACTTGTAATGATCCTCCTGTCATGGCCTCCCTAGTGCTGGGATTATAGACTTGAGCCACCACACTGGGTCTTGATGGCCGGCTTGGCATGAAGTACCAGGGATGGGACCCGGTTTCTGCCACTTGCCAGAAAGGCGCTTAGACTGCCGAGCTATCTTCCCAACCTATAAGGACATATGAAGTTAGTTTGTGTTAATGTGCTAAAATACTTATACTTTAAATTGAATAACTGCTATGTAAAATTAGTGTATTCTAAATTTACTGAATAAAAACTATGATCTAATGATATTATACCTATTAAGATAGATACATGTAAATGAAAAATTAGATGTCAGAGGAATGAGAAATTCACACTTCTTTGTCCGGGTACCCTAATTATACAGAAATCTCAATTCAAAAATGTGAGTTACCGTCAAAATATGCACTAAAAGGCTCTGGCTTATAAACTGATTATATACCTTGATAAGTAAATTTGTCTCTGTATTTAGAAATACATTCAAAAAGTTAAAAAGCATATTGACCTAATTAATGGTCCTACTGAGCTGCTTCTGTTGTTATACCTTTCCGATACTTTTAAAATGAGTGGTCAGCTCTAAAGAATGATAACCTCGAAGCCTTTATATTGAAGTGGATGCCACTTGAAGATATACTTGTAAGTGAAATAAACCACACACATATGTGTAAATGTCATATAGTTTCCCTAGTATAAGAACTCAAAAGAAGAAATACAAATAGAAAGGTATAATACAAGTAAAAGCAGGATCTCGAGGACTACCTAATCAAGAGAGGGAAAGGAGAAGAGCTAGGAAACATGACAATGTCAGTTATATGTTCAAGATAGGCAAGGCAATGATCCTGAGAATCTCCAGAAGATTTTTGAATCTAGCAGTTAATTGGAAAGATTCTCACCCTGACTAACTATATATACTGATACCTGTGAACTAAGCAACTGCACTGTAGGTGGTAATCTGTAATAGTAGGTTCATGCTTGGAGTGCCTGTCATTCTGGTCTTCTGAATAAGGGCTGCTTCTCATGACATGCCAGTTGCTGCTGTGCTGTCTCTCAGGTAGATGATTGTTCGAAAAGAATGGGGTGGTGAATGAAGGCAGGAGACAGAAAAGGAATGTTGTGGGACTGTCCTGCTTCAAGGTTGTATATGGTTAGATTTCTGGACTTATGTGTAAACATAAGAATTATATAATTCTTTATGACTAATATTCTTTAGGGTTTTAAAGTTCAACATATCAATACTTGATGAAAAATACTTGTTCCATGTTATGCCTAACATGTTTGATATTCAGACAGATAGTGAGGTTAAGCGCAACAGCCTAGGTTGTATGGTAATAACAATAAGCTTGTCTTCTGGATGGTTAACAACCTAAGTTTGCAGACCACAATTAGAGAAAAAGGAGGGCCACAAGGAAAGCCAACATTTTGGCCCTAGACTTCCAAGATCAATTAAGACTCAGGACATATGAGATCTTGTACTGTAACATCATGTAACTCAGTAGTGTCCCAAATTTTCTGATCAAGGAGATTATGGGGCCAAAGAGGAAAGTGATTGATGATGTAGAGTGTGCCTAAGGAGAGTCACATGGAGAGAAAACATTCTCTCAGGCTTTCACACAGAGCACATTGGCCAGCAATGGCCGTGACTCATCCACATGGCTGACACTGACAAAGGTTCTACAATCTGAGGTACAGGATCTCAGGATAAATCCTGAGGGGATTTGACTGACCTTATCAGATCCAAAAGCTACAACTCTTGTTGCATAGGTCCTGCTTTATCTGGGTCTTAACCATCCAGCAGAAAAGTATAAAAATGAAGTACAAGAAGTAAAGCCATGCTGTTATGTTGAGCTGTGGGGGACTCAGGTCAACAATTTCTGACATTGCCAGTCACGTGGAAGACCCAATACTATTATGGACTACTGGACTCTTTTAGAATATTTTTGCTGAGTTAGCACACCTATAATATTCAAATGACGGAACTAAACAAAAAAAGGGATATATAAATGAATGTTCATTTAGTATCTGTGTATTCAAAATGGTTAGGATAGATATATAGTTACATCCTCTTAATGAATAGAGGGATTTATTGTAATAGTGTTTGCAAATAGGATATCATGTCTGCATCTTGTAAAGCAGATAACCACTAGGAAAAGAGTATGCAATGTGTTAATTATTGAAACTGTCCTTGATTTGAAACTGTCTCATCACTATTTGTCAAAATTATGAGAAAAAAAAGAAAAGAAAAGAAAAGAAAAAAAATCTTAAAAAATTAAATAAAATAAGTGGTCACCACCATGATAGACTTCAAAACGCACAGCGAGGGCAGAGCAGGGGAGCTGCAGACATGGGCCCCGGGCTGCGTGGGGCGGGAGGTGTCAGCAGCCTGCACAGACTCGGGGCAGTGGCTGCGCTTGGGGGCGCCTACCGCCGGGCACTTCACATTCACGCGTATCGGAGCTGAGAGGTTTTCCCACACCATGCATTTTTCTTTTCCTCATACTCTTATTTAAAGTTTAGCTGGAAACCTTAATGAGATCCCAGGCAACCCCCCTGTAAATTATCTATAACTCTTTTAATGGCTGTTGGGGGTTTTAAAGTTTTAATTGCTCTGAGTTTGCTTACTCATGCAATTTTGCATTGTTGGCCTTTGTGGATAGAAGCACTCGCATGGGGTAGAAATTGCCAAGGACCTTGGCCTGCCCAGTTCCAGCTCCTGGTTACAGGGAGGGAGAGCTCAGGTCCCCACAGCCCTGAGCAGAGGACCGCCAGGCTCAGCAGCTCGTCTTCTAGAACTTTGCGGTCGACTCAGAGCCTTGGCCAGTGCTGCACTCCACCCTGGTGTGGAGGCCGTGGCGAGACTGCCCCCCGATCCTAACGCAGCCAGCGCTGGCTCTGGGGCCTGGTCAGAGCCTGTGGCTTCGGCGTTTCCTTGTGCTGTTTCACTGGAGGACTGTCCCGCTCTCTGTGCTCTGCACGGAAGTCCTTCCTCCCACCTGCTCTCCACGCTGAGCGCACCCATGAACAGGAACGTGCAGGAGCACGCGTGGGTCCACACCGCGGCCTCTGTCACCCAGGGTGAGGCTGCTGCGCAGATGCTCTTCGGTCATCTGCCTGTCTCCCCTCACCTGGGGGCAGGTGGGAGGCCAGGAGGCTGCTGTTCTGGTCCACGGAGCTGCTCTGGTCTCACTGCAGGTGTCCTGTCACTGCAGGGGAAGGTGGGGACCGCGTGAGAGACAGTCCAGAGGACAGAGGGCGGCCAAGCCGCCCTCCGCTGCCAGCACAGGAGGAAGGGGAAGCAGGGCAGGTTTCCATCATTCGTAAGACCTTCCTTGCATCTCGAGGCTAGCTAGCAGGGAGCAGAATAGTTGCCTTGAGAAAGCCTGACCTGTGCCCTGCGTGGTGTTGTCTTCCTGTGAGAGGGCCCAGGCCCTGAGCATCTGCTGCCCCTCGCACACACCCCTGCTTCCTCCCACAGAGTGCATCTGACGGGCCTTGGCTTTGTCACCCTGAGGCAGTCTCACCAGGCAGCCAAGGGGTGCCGGGTCCCCAGGCATCCCAGGCCTAAGCAGACTGCTCAGAGGGCTCTCGGTGAGCACGTGTGGAGTAAGAGTACGGAGGATTTGTGAATTGAGTATTTAAGGATCACTGCTGGGTCAGTGTCAGGGTTATCAGATAGTATAAGCAGTAATGGAAGCTAAAGAAATATCCCACCAAGGAAATCGCCATGTCAGCCCTTTTCCTTTTGAAAGAACTCTGTGGTAGGTTTCCCCCGCCATTTGCCTTACTGTCCCTGCAGGAAAGGACCGGCAAGGGCCACCATCTCCTGTGATCGTGAACTTGTAAGAGAAACTTACAAAGCACAACTGTGCTGGGGATCCCTAGCTTTGCACATCAACTCCGAGTAACCCCAAATCGCAGGGAACTGGACTGCGCCCCGGCTGAGATCTGCTCAGGGGCCAGTTCCTCCCTGCTCTTCCCTCGCTGGTCCATCGGCTCTCAGTGAACAGCTGTCCAGTCTGTGGTCTCCTGAGCAGCCTTGGGTCCCTGAGGGGTCTTCTGGGGCCTGTCCCTTCTTCCAGGATGAGAAGGTTGAGTACAGCCAGGCCATCAGCAAGCAGCTAGGGACACCTGGAGAGTGGGAGGTCCCAGCCACCTGGGGGACTTTAGAGCTGAGATTGGACAGAAAGGAGAGGTGCACCATGTTCAGGGATCCCCCCACACCCCTCATAGCAGCACAGCTCCCGAGAGCGAAACCTCGGACAGGGCTGTATGTCCACCAGTGGATGCACATGTGGACAGAGGAACGTGGTGTTTACACACAGCTGTAGGAAGGGTGAGCTTGCACTACCTGAAGGGAAACGGATGTTAATGGACCTTCATGTTACAGGAAGGAAATCGGAACGACAGTTTCTCTTATATGAGAAACTCTATAAATAAAGACACAGTGAAAGGCAACCAGTGAATGAGAGATGGAGAGAGAAGGGGGTGAAAGAAGAGCCGAGGGCGTTGAGCCGACACACCAGCTCTGGGGGCTGCAGTCCTTGTGCCCTGCAGATGCACCAGTAAGAGCACAAACCAAAGCAAAGACAGTGCCTCCACCGCAGTGTGCGGGAAAGCGCGGCCCTTGCATGCGGGCAGGAAAAGCCCAGCCTCGCGCAGCCTGGGGATGACAACCCGCTCGCTCGTGGGGGTTGCCTGTGCCCCCTTGGCAGGGCAGAAGTCTCAGTCTGTTCCCAGTCCTCCTGGATTTGCACAGATGAGGCTGTGAGCAGTCACTGCAGCACCGGGTGGCACCTCTGGGTTTGGCTGACTCCAAGGTGCACTCTGACTTCGCGGACTTCCGAAGTGCTCTCCATAGCCCTGCCTCCTGGGGCACACCTGAGGCCTGGCCGGGCTCACCCTGGCTGATGCTGGCGGGGCCATGCAGGCTTCGCCATCCTGTCCCCTGCCCAGCCGTCGCTGCCCTCCATGGACGCTGAGCTCCTCCTGCCTCCCTTTGTGTGTACTTTGGGCTGCTCCGTGCTGGCCTCTGACAGTCCTGGAGCGCACACTAGGACCACCGACGGCTTCCGGCCAACCTCAGAGTTGCTGTCTCCTCGCTCCGCGCTCTCTCTCCTACAGTCACAGGCTTCTTCAGAGTGTTCTAGCAGTGCTGTCACGTCACTACCTGCACGTGGCATAGTTCCCTTGGAGAATATAAATGCCAATTTACTAAGTAAAGCAAAATAGGCTGGGCACCGTGGTTCTCCACCTAACTGAGAACTAGTAGATATGCAAATTGAGCACAGTTCCGCAGACATAACTTTATCTTGCTTCTTCAGGGTATAGATTTGCAGAGGATTGATAATGTCCTTGTTTCAAGGCAGATAGGCCCACTCTTCTGGCCAGCTTGAGCAGGCTTAGCAGTGAGTGAGAAGTGACCGGCGCTGAGAAAAGACAAGACGGGGACTCCTTCTTTGTCTTTAGACTTCTTTATTCTCTGGCCTTCCT